GCGTGCAGGAACCCGAGAGAAATCACGGATGTGAGCTAAACGCGTCAGGCGCACAACCGGGGGCTCTCCCGGTCGGGCCTGCTCTCCTCCCAGGCGCAGGCCCCGTGGCTCCTCGGCACCCTGCGTTCACAGTGTTGTACACGGACCCCGGGACGCCCCAGGCACCTCCTGCTCCTTGGGGTCTCCCTCACGGTGCTGCCTCCGTCTCGAGTGAGTCCTTCACCCTCTTTCTCCATCTGATGACTCCCGTCGGGTCTCTGGGCTCCCGCGGCACCTGCCCTGTGAGGTCGCCCTGAGATCTTCAGGAGACGTTCCTGAAGCTTGGGCCCCCTGTAGTCTCCGTTCTGGTGTCTGTTTCCACATCCGCATGCCTAACCCCTCAACTCCGTGGACAGTGTGAGAGCAGAATCCTGGCTGCTTTCACCTCGGTTTCCCCTGCAACCAGCAAAACGCCTGGCTTCCTAGACGCTCGCTGAGAACGAATCAAGGGACAAAGGGTTGACTACAGAAACACTACTCTTCCCGTCTCAGATGATCCCACATCCCAGTCGAGGATGTTGTCACTCTTTCGTGGATTTGCTGCTTTCCCGTAAGTTTCTTGGACTTCGGGGCTTGCTGGCAGTAGCCAGGGTACTTCCAACCCAGGCCAGCCACAGCAACCCCCAGGGGCTCTTGGCCACCTAGTTTCTCCCTCCCCTTTTGCTAGTTGGCAGAGCCATGTTCCTTCAGAAGTATCTTCGGTTTATCCTCAAGTGTTTCCACCTCTCTGCTCCCATTTACACATGCTCTTAGTTTAGCAAAAGGAAACTTGGCAGGGCAGGAAGTTCTCAGTCTGTCCTGGTCTGGTAGGGCAGAAAGTCGGGATTGTTAGCTTTAGCTGTGACCTCTCGAGTATATTTTTTTTCCAAGCATCTCAATAAAAGACATCTGTAATGGTGTGACTGCTTGGTGCACTTAATACTTATTTTCCAAATCCTTAGTTGAACGTGGGCTATAACTGAGCGGACATCCTAAGCCCGCAGCAGTACACAGGGCTCCTCCTGGATGTGAGAGCTGAGGTCCGCAGAGCATGCCGGGTGATCTAAGCCTGGTGCATCCTTCCTTCCTATCATGTGTTTTGTTTCCTCTGGCTTGCAGAGGCAGCTCAGAAAAGTTCTCAAAAGATGCTTATGCAACCAAGCTTTGTTACCGGTTTTGAATGAAGTCAGCCAACCCCATGAATTTTCTTTGTTTCTTCCTATTTTTCACACAATGTCTCATCACAAGTGTTCAGGCTCCCAGAAAAATGTGAAGGTCACATCAGGACTTGCTACCTCTGAATCAAAGTTTCATTTCAAGGTTCACTAAATACTTACAGCAAACACACACTGGGTTTTTAAAAGACCACAGACCGACCTCTGGAGACTCATTTACATGCGGGACTTCATAGACACCTGAAGTTTTTAGTTTTAAGGTTTATAGTTTTACCTGAGTTTTCTATATACTTTTGAGTGAATTATTTTCTGCCATAGATACTATGGTTTTTCACTATATTTCTTAATTTTCATAAATTACTCTATTTCTTTAAAAAATGTTTAGGATTTATTTATTTATTTTAGACAGAGAGCATGCATAAGTGAAGGGGCAGAGGGAGAGAGAACCTCAGGCAGACTGCACTGAGCATGGAGCCCAATCAGGGCTCGATCTCACAGCCGAGATCACGACCTGAGCTGAAACGGAGAGTCCGATGCTTAACCAACTATACCACTCAGCTGCCCCTACTCTGTTTCTTAATTTATATTTATAGGTAATTTCTTGCAATAATAGTGAATAATTATTTGCCATACAGCACATTCTCAGAAAAAACTAAGGCCAGACTATCTCTGATAATGAACCTCCAGAGTCTTTCAAATACAGGTAAATGGTAACAAGATCAGAGTCCTAAATTAAGCAAATGTCAAATTCCCTTAGACTTAGGGTGAACGAAGACCACCCTCACCTCCCAAATTATATCGTTAGAGAGAATCAGAAAAACTTGGGCATCAATAGCCTTCCGGATCTTTGAAGTACAGTGAAAGGAGGCAGAATTAGTTGCTGCTACTTTTTATTCATTCACTACTGTCCCTTCCCTGGTCGCCACACTTTCATTCAACCGGAGCCAAGAAGTCCTCCTCCTGCATCCTCCCCAGGGCCTGCCCACTGCTCTGACTCCCCCTACTTAGTCCCCCAGGCCCCCACGTTACAGTCACTTAACCACCCCCTACTCATTCTCTCTCATGCTTTGAAAATTTTAGCTCTGGCTCACTGTCTCTCTCTTCAGTATTAGGCCTTTTAAAAAGATTTTATTTATATGAGAGAGAGAGCAAGAGAGAGCAAGCATGAGCAGGGGGAGGGGCAGAGGAAGAGGGAGAAGCAGACTCCCTGCTGAGTGCAGAGCCCATGTGGGCTCAATCCCAGGATCCTGAGATCATGAGCCGAGATCAAGAGTCAGCCATTCAACTGACTGAGCCCTTCAATATTAGTTTTGTCATACTTTTTAGTGATTTCAGTGACTCAGTTGCTTGGCCTCCTCCTCTGATCTTGTCTTCAACACAACCTCAGCTACCTTCTTCCAAGGGACATACCTTAGACTTGTCACTACCCAACACCGAACGCCCATAACCTCAGGTATTCCCTTTGCTAACTTCCACTTTCTATCCTTCAAATTTATTGTCTCTACTGCTCTCGTTCCAACAATCCTTAGGTCCCTCTGCTTGCACCATTCATCAAGCCTCCCCATTTGCCACTGCCCCTCGACCTCATTTTACTCACGGCTCATTTTCCTGGCTCTGGTCCTCATTTTCCTCTTTGCTCAGTTTAAACTCTGAGGTCCACCACTACAATCCCCTCTTTCCCTGAACTCTCAGTTTCTTGGCTTCTTGTTTCCATCATATGCCCTTGAAAAGTCCCATCTGCACAGCTGAACATGGCTGCAGGAAAAACACCCAGCTATGGAGCTGGCCTTACTTTCAATTTATTAGCATGAATCTCGAGCAGATCCAGAATGACTGTCTGGCTACTGTGATGCATCCCTCAGTCTGTTTACTCTTCTGCTCTCCTGGATGTCCTCTTTCTCATCCAGCTTTCAGCACTTTCTTCCCATCCTCACTAACAGCTGATGACCTTGCTTCTGATTTCCACCCAGAATACAGAAGCAAGAGAAGAGAACTTCTATGAGATCCCACCACCTAACAGCTTGAAGCTCATGTACCCTGGTGGCTTTCATGCTACTGTCTTCTTGTGTCCTCGAGGAAATCATTCTTGGTATTTTTCTGCCTTCTACTACATCATTTTTTTCCTCTCTCAAAAGAATTTCCTCATCAGCAGATGTATAGATATGCTGTCATTTCTTCCATGTGTAAAACACCTGACTGTGCCTGCCTATCTAGATGCCCCTTCATTCTCTTCTTCCTTTCATAGAAATAGTCATCTAAAGAGTAGCCACCAGCTATTCTCTTGAACCCAGTGTGCTCTCTTGAGCCCACTCTAATCATGATCTTTCTTCACCCCTCAAAACTGATCTTTTCAAAGTGACCAGTGACCTCCCTGCTGCTCTGTGATCAATTCTTGATCCTTATCTTGCTTGACCTATGAGCTACATTTAATAGGGTTAGTCATTCCATCTTCCTATTAAATACTTTCTTCACCTGGATTCTAGGACTCCACATTCTCCTGCTTCTCTGCCTAGCACACTGACTGCTTCTTCTCAGTCTTCTTTATTGGCTCTTGCTCATTCTCCTGATTTCTGAATGTTAGATTTGCCAGGTCTGAGACCATGCACTCCTGTTTTTTTTTTTTATCTATACTCGCTCCCATAATGCTCATCCAGTCTTGTGGCTTAAACAGCATCTACATGTTGAGGACTCTCAAGTGATCATGGACCTAGCCTACATCTCTCTTCTAAAGTCTAGACTCATCTATCCATTTACCTATTTGACCTTTTTGTCTTGGATATCTAACAAGTCTCTGAAACTTAATACATCCGCAAATCAATCTCATCTCCCCCTTCCTAATCTCTCTTTCTTCCTTCTTCTGCATCTCATTTACTGGCAATTCCATCCTTTCTGCTGTTAAGGCAACCCTCCCCCCAACAGCTTTGCCTCTTTTGGCCTCCCTTACACACAGAATCAAAGAACCTGCCAGGCTCTACCTTCAAAATAGAGCCATAATCTGACCACTTCTCATCATTACCTCAGCTACCATCATGGTCTAGACTTTCTTAGGTTACAGGAATTCTCATGGTGTTGAAGCGTCCAAACACCAAGGCTGCTCTTCCCCATATCTGGGGAAGATCTGGAAGCCTTACACCTCCTCAAGTCTCACACTCAGATTTTACCGTTTCAGACTCATCGTCATGCTGTTACCATTGCCATCTCTACTTAGTCTTCTTGAAATATTTACATTTTCTGGGGGAAATAATTTATGTATATTATTTATATATAAATTTATATATATATATGTAAATATTTATATTATAAATCATATTATATATATTTATAAATGATATGTTATATATAATTTATATATATATTATTTTGTCCCGAGAGTATTTAAGGTACATTATAAAAGTATATAAAAAGTACATAAAATACACAACAGTGTAGAAAAATAAGTGAGTAAATTCAGCCAAGGGAAAATAAGGATAGAAAAAAATTCAGATGAAGCCACAGGTGACTGTAAGATGCATAGAGTGAGGTTCTTTGCATTTCTACACATGAGTAACACATAAATTTCCTCTAAGGTATGCCTTAATATTGGATTTATTTCTGTTTGGTGGGCCCCATAAGGCATCATGAGCACAGTGGCTCTTTGGGCTTAGAGGGGGAGAAGTCTGTGTTGGACAGGAAAGGCTCAGAAGGAGAAGTGGGTCAGGAAGACTCTCTTCACCCTACTGGGTCTCAGCCTAACCCCAAACACTCCCTTGGTGTTCCCCCCAGTCTCTGACCTCCCAGTCCACCCCCACATGATCCCCTGGTACTTACCAAGACCCAAACAAGAAACTCTGAGTCCTGATTTTCCAAGATTTCTAGAATAAAAATAAAGAAACGTGGTTATGACTTTCTCATGTGAAACTATAAACATTTAGCTATGAGTACTATATTGCACTTTTGACATTGTTTTGGCTAGAGTCATGGTAGAGCTGCAGGTGCACATCTGTGGAAGAGTCTTTCATCTCCATTTGGGTGTTAGGAGGCTCAAAATGTGCTCAGGCTCAGCACAAAATGAAAATACCCCCATGAGATGCAGCTTTTCAGCTTTGAATGATCTTTACTAATTTGTTTACAAATTTATTTTCTTCTCTTTCTAGAATGTGAGTTCCTTGAGGGCAAAATCAGTGTCTTATTCACCAAATAGTCATTCGTTATTCATCCATAGAGCCTGACACACAGTGGACCCTTAATAATAAATATTTGTTGGCTGAGTGACAAACTGACTTCTAAAGTAGAATATTATTACTGACGGTTGGGGATTATCATAAGAACAAATTCAAAATGACCCTTCAGGCTGTTTTACCTATATTACAGATATTCCTTGACATACAATGGGGTTATGTCCTGAGAAACCCATCCTAAGTTGAAAATATCCTAGGTTGAAAATACATTTAATTCACCTAACCATCAAACATCATAGATTAGCCTACCTTGAACGTGCTCAGAACACTTCTGTTAGCCTACAAATGGGCAAAATCATCTAACAAAAGCCTATTTTACAATAAGATGTTGAAGATCTCATGTAATTTACTGACTACTATACTGAAAGTCAAACAAATTAAAAAAAAAAAAAACCAAATGGTTGGATGGGTCTAGAGTCACTGTAAGTATATTGACTGTTGACCTTCCTGTTTGTGGGACTGCCTGGGAGCTGTGGCCTCCTGCCCAACATCATGAGAGAGTGTCCTACCATATATCGCTAGCCCAGAAAAAAGATCCAAATTTAAAGTTTGAAGTATGGTTTCTACTGAATGCACATGGTTTTCACACCATCATCAAGTCAAAAGACTTGAAGTCAAACCATGAGAAGTTGGGGACTGTCATATTATTTTTTTATAAAAGGCTACATAACGTTGCTACAAGAAGGTCAGATAGTCCTTTTTAAATGATTTTTTCTTCTCATCGATCCCTTTGCTTTTCACCCTCAAAAGCTTATCGAGAAGAGGAAATGTATTTTCACTCTCTAAGTAGAGAGAGAACTAGGCGCTCTAGGCTACATTGTAGGGTATTCCATGGAGACCCACACCCACCCTGTCTTCCCACCACCATCTGCCTACGAGCTGTGAGGGAAGAGACCAAAATCTCAGAGAGAGAATCCCTTGTAGAATTTTGTAGGGGTCTAATGTGAGAGGTGAAGCTTAAATAATTGAAACATGGCAGGAAAAGTACATCCCTTACTCTCTGATCGGATGCTCTTATAAGAACACAATCTCCCCTCCAATACACACACTTCTATCCCAAGCAAAACAGCACAAACCCTTCCTCTGGGTTCAATCTCTTCACTAATAAGATGAGCTATAAGGCCTGGACCATTCATCTAGCATCACGTCCATGGGACTGGAACATGATAATGTATGTTAAGGTGTCACACAGCAGGCAAATGCAAAGCAGAATTATTTTGGGTGCTTTCTAACTCTCATCCCCCTCTCACAGACATAGTGCTACATTTTCCCATTTGAAGTGGGGAAGTCCACCTGGAAGGAAACTATTGCATAAAGGAGTTTGTGAAAATATTTTGAACTATTAAATAGAAGAAAAATAATTATAGCCTTCTCCCAGGAAAATAATTTGCATAAGAAATTATTCTCAAAAACCACAGGATATAAAATCTGAAGATTTTTCTTTTAGTTTCAAAGTCTACCGATTTTAGAGGCACCCTGGGTGGCTCAGTGGTTGAGCATCTGCCTTTGGCTCAGGTCATGATCCCGGGATTCCGGGATTGAGTCCCACATCAGGCTCCCTGGGGGAACCTGCCCCTCTGCCTCTCTCTGTCTCTCATGAATAAATAAATAAAAATAAAATCTTTAAAAGTCTACTGATTTTAAAGGACAATAATCTAGGACAAAAGCTAATATAGCGGGGAGAAGGAAAAAAAAGACTACACCAAAACAAAACAAAAAAAGTAAATAAATAAATATAAAATAAATATAAAAAAATAAGTACAGTTGACCCTTGAACAACACAGATTTGAACTGCATGGGTCCCCTACACGTGGATTTTTAGAAAATAAATACAGTGTGGTACTATATATACGTGCTGCCAAAGTGAGCACCAGTGTGGTACTATAATTGTATTTTCTCTTCTTTATGATTTTAATAGTTTTTTTTAGCTTGCTTTACTGTAAGGATACAGCATATAATGCATATGATATAAAAAATTTGTGTTGACTATGTTATCAATTAGGCTTCCAGTCAACAAGAGGCTATTAGTAGTTAAGTTCTAGGGGGACTCAAAAGTTATACGTGGATTTTCAACTGCACAGGGGGTCTGTGCCCCTCAGACTCATGTTGTTCAAGGGTCACCTGTATATATGTGAGCGATAGTGTTCCAGGCAGAGATACTCGATATCAATGCCTCAGTTAAGGCTTACTGAGAGGCTTCCACATTCTAGGCAACGTGCAGCTCACGGGGATACAGGGGGAGGGACCTAAATGCGGCCCATTTTCCTGCCACGGATGTTTAAACACCCAGGCCAGCTTTTCCAGAATGAAAGCCTTAGAAGATTTTGTACTCTATGAACAGTTCCAGTAGGACAAATATTGATACAGAGGTGATAGATCCCTCATTGAGCCCTGGGACTTTTATTTTCCCCCTATCTCAATATCTCCACCCTCTAGAAGGAACAGTTGCCAAACCCAGTTGGTTGTCTTCAAAGTGAGAGGCATTTTCTGTCATGAGCCACATCCGGTCTCTAAGTCCACTGCCTTTACTTTGTCCATGGGTGGGTCTCCGTGAGACTCCTACCCTGTAGGACATTCTCAACACATGACGATGCTTCTCTCTCTGCAGACGTAGAAGGTGGGAGGAACTAGCTCCCTCCAATTCACCTCGTAGAATTCCAACACAATTTCTGTGGTTACCAGTGGGGCACCCACCTCCTCCTGCCTCTGTCCATGTCTCCGCAACAGTCAATGGAGATGTGGTGACTGTCTAGCCATCCCAATCCGTTTAAGCTCTACTGGATAACAGAAGCCCAAATGCTGGACATATTTGATCTGGTGAGTGCAAACTATACCATCAAAAGCTTGTTTGTGTGATTATAACACTGAATAATGGCCAAGTTTACATATCATGCTAGGCTATAACAGATGCCTTGGAACCTTCTTCATCCCACACATGGAATTTTCATGACTACTTCATGATCCTTGTGCAACAAAACAACTTTATGGAATTTCATTTTGTTTCTTAATTCCTCAGCACTTACACAATTGAGGCTACATAAAAATTCTGTAAGCGCATCAAATTTCGAATTAGATTGGATTCCTCTCCCTTTGGATTCAAAATAGTCTCACTGCACTGGTTTACCTATTTTATCTGTGTCAGATATGCCAGAAGGAAGTCTCACTGTGTTCATTTTTAGTATCTGCTCCTGTTCAACTCAAAATAAAAGCTCCTCTTTCCCAGGTGAACCTGGGCCGCTCTGCTGCTAATATTAGAAATGAATGACATCAATATGGGGGCACAGGACACTTAGCTTTGTCAGTCAAATTTTGGAAACTCTAAATCTTAAGTCAAAGCTTCAATAAAGAGTTATCTGGGAAACGGATACAGCTTCTGAGGACACCAAGGTTGTATCTCTCTCTTTTTCCCCCTGTAGGCAGAACTGCCCCTCTGTGAATACATGGCTGAATTTATTTTAGGCCAACAGTTAGTTCTATGACAGAGGCATTAAATATAATTCCTAGTGTCATTTTGTAAAGCATCCATCACAGGCTCTTTTTTATTTTAAGGCAATAATGGAGTGGCAAAGACTGAAATCAAGTGTCAGGCACCGAATTGCAAGCCGCTCTGAGGCTTGCAGTTCCTTTACCAATCACAGATGCTAAAAGCAGAAAGCAGCAGCCCAAATGTCTTGTCTTAAACTGTTTGCTCCTGAATAGGTGTGTCTTAGATATTATTCACAGTTGTAAGCTGCTCAGGAAAGAGGAGTAGCTAGCTAAAATACGTACCTTGCATTTGACCAAGAAAGCCTCATGATGCCTGGGACAAGGGGCATGACTCAAAGCACGAGTTCAGCTTGACCTTTTTTCATGTGCTCAGGTCATTTTGTCACCTGCTGTCTCATCTGTTGGACTGGTCTTAGTGATCCCTCTAAATCACACTCTGCTCCTCTGTGGTGCCTCACCTGGAAGTTACCAAATCTAGGGTATGGAATGTTTTTTTTTTTTTAAATGATATTTAACCTTTTTTGAAAAATCTAGACTGAAGGCATGTTCATCTGTCAGTCAGCTGGTTTTGATGGTTGTATAAGAACACACATTTTGACTGTCATGAAGGTGACTACAAATGGTAATAACACTTTCTTAGGAGGAGGGCACCATTCATCACTGTTGATAAGTGAATGATGACTCATTTGGAAACCACCAGGCACAAAAATGATGTAGCCCTCCATGCATTTTGATAACAGACATTGATGAGTGGTGCATGAAACTGTGTTTCATTTGTACTTTCCCTTAAGTAGCGACAAAGTGGAATGGGATTCTATCAGAATCTTTGATTTAACGGTTTAAGTCTTTTGTCAGTTGTAAATTCCAACTAGATTCTTATTTTCACTGAACATACAAAATCACCTGATGACCTGCAGATTTTAGAAAAGTCTAGAGAAGTAGGGCAAAACAGAGTTCCCTATAATTAATTAGTTCAATAGTGATATACCAAGTTTCAACTATACACCAGGCCTTGTTTTAGGGGTGAGAGTGGGCTGCGTAGCAGATAGCTGTTGTTCTCATGGAGCTTACATAAGAGAAGGGGAAACATGTTAAATAGTGAATTATTTGATTGTAACACTAAATAAAAGGACACTCTGCACAGAGTA